AGAAGAGTATTGACTAACCGCGAGAGAGGTATAGATTGACTTGACCTTGCCTGAAGCACCGCGGGATTATTAACCCAAACGAGAGAGAGAGAGAGGGAGGGAGAGAGAGAGAGGGAGAGAGAGAGGAGATAGGGAGTGGGAGAGAGGGAGAGAGAGGAGAGAGGGAGTGGGAGAGAGGGTGGGAGAAAGAGAGCGAAAGAGACAATGGACAATTTTTCTATCCATGGGAGAGATATCTGGCAGTGGGGGAGAGAGAGATAGATATCTGGGAGTGGGGGAGAGAGAGAGATGTATCTGGGAGTGGGGGAGAGAGAGAGATCTTAGAGAGAGAGAGAGAGAGAGATCTGAGAGAGAGATCTTATAGAGATGAGAGAGAGAGAGAGGGAGGGAGAGAGGGGAGAGAGAGAGAGGAGAGAGGGTGGGAGAGAGAGAGCGAAAGAGACAATGGACAATTTTTCTATCCATGGGAGAGATATCTGGCAGTGGGGGAGAGAGAGATAGATATCTGGGAGTGGGGGAGAGAGAGAGATGTATCTGGGAGTGGGGGAGAGAGAGAGAGCATAGAAGAGAGATAGATATCTGGGAGTGGGGGAGAGAGAGAGATGTATCTGGGAGTGGGAGAGAGAGAGAGATCTGAGAGAGAGAGAGAGAGAGAGAGATCTGAGAGAGAGATCTTATAGAGATGAGAGAGAGAGAGAGGGAGGGAGGGAGAGAGGGGAGTGAGAGAGATGAGAGAGGGTGGGAGAGAGAGAGAGCGAAAGAGACAATGGACAATTTTTCCATCCATGGGAGAGATATCTGGCAGTGGGGGAGAGAGAGAGATGTATCTGGGAGTGGGGGAGAGAGAGAGATCTTAGAGAGAGAGAGAGAGAGAGGTGTGAGAAAGAGACAGTATATACAGTGAATATATAGAGGGGAGAGAGAGAGAGAAAAAAGAGAGAGAGAGAGAGAGAGAGAGAGAGAGACACTAATCCTGCAGCTCACATCCTGAATACTACATGCACACACCGGCGTCTGCAGCGGAATTGCTACCTTAAAGCGAACACGCATTTGCAATGACATTCACCACACACGCATACACACACACGCACACACACACACACACACACGCGCACGCATACACCAAAAGGGGAGTGTCTCCCTGCTCTGTGTGCTCGACCAAAATTAAAGCTCCTTTATTGCTGCCAAAGAAAAAGGGAAGGAGACGGAGAATGTTGGACTAACAAACGCGCCATCCTCGGGATTCCTGACCCCACGACGCGGATAAGACAGGTGGGTCCGCTGAGGGGATGTTTTCTTCTTCCATATCACCAGCGTTTCGCAGCCTCCCCGGGGGATTTGTTGCTGGGTGATGGGGAGAACCTCCGATGAGGACGTGTTCAGCGGTTTGTGCAATTCATTTGTTTTCCCGAATAAGGAAAACAAAAGGGAGAGCCGCTGCGGAATCATTCGGGTTGCTGGAGATGAACGTATTGGCCGCTCTGTTCTTGTCGTGCTGCAAGAAGAAGTTTTTGTAAATAATACCAGCAGCGTAGCACCTAAAATCTGGCCAATCGTCAGACGTTGTAGGCCAAAGGGGTCGAGGTTTTCTGGAAAATGCAAAAAGCATAAAATTATTTTAAGATGATCTAAGATTAGATTATTA